CTGTCTTGGCTGCCTGTCCTGACGCAGTCGACTCCGGCGCGTGCCACTAGAGTCACGAGGGTGTACATAGCCATGGGGCGCCCGAAAAGTGGCCTCATCCCAAAGCCCCCTTCTCTGACCCCCCATGAGACCTTGGCTTGCACCTGTCATGGTGGGGTTTGTTGGCACCAGACCGTAGGGATTCCAGGAACAGCACCCTGGAGAATGACCTTTTTATCCTTACACGAATCTTAGAGCAGTAGATATCTGCTTGGTGTACACGGACAGTAGCTTCGTGCTATATGTTCTGGGCTTCTGTAGAAGTGCGAGCAATTGAAACTGTAGAAACATTTCCCCCTTTATACGGTTATATTCCCTGTAGAATCCCATGTTCCCTGTTGTTGTCTTTTTACTTTTCCTTTTGATTCGGCATCTTCTTCACCGAGCTGGAGCATGTGATCGCCTGTAGCCAAGGCAAGCTTCCTATGTCAAAGACATCTTGGCACTTCGCGGTCCTTGGGAAACATCGAACCAATCTTTGGGTTTTGCGCTAGGGTTTACAGGCTAGGGTTTGGACTCTGTTTGTGTTCGCCTCAAGAATCAGGTTTGTTTGTGCCTTTGGGGCGTTGTTGTACGGGCCTGTTGGGCATCAGGATGCTTGCGCCTGGTAGACTCCATAAGGCCATATGGCCGTTCGAATCGCGAGATCCAACAGCCGCCGACTAGGGCTGTAAATTAGATCGTAAAGTGGATTTGAAGGTCCTGACGAGTCTCTGAAACTTTAACACACAATTAGCCGTACAAGAATGCAACCAAGTAGCCTCTAGTTACTCTAGTCTGTCGGCACTTTGGCGGTGCAAGGTCCATGGAAGACGGCTTTGCAGCCGACAGCGTGCCTGTGGAAGAACTTGGTTTTGATTCCTCCGCAACGGGTTGCTCAACAGGTAGAAAAACACGGCTTCGTTGACCAGGTTGTAGCCGATCGTTCTTTTTGATTAACATTACGAATATAAAGCTTGTGGTTTTCGATGGCTTTCGTAATCTGACTGCCCAGGCCCCAGCCCGAACCCTCCGAGTCCGGCTCGTCAGGTGCTTAAAGAAGCAACAGTCAAAGTCCTTCCACGCGCTTCCCGCGCCTTCTTGGCGATGATTCAGATTTCTCAGCGGTCTTCTTTGAATGTTTTTATTTGCTGTGTAGGGTGCTGTTTCTAAGGCTTCGGTGTACGTACAGTTTACAGGGTTTCTCAACACATTGTCCCCTTTTGAGGGTCCTTATCAGGGACATGTGGGGGACCTCTTTTCAAAAATGCTCTCTTGGCCTACTGGATCACATTTTCGCTCAGGGGGTTCCTTACATATTGTTGGTAGTTCGAACGCTGTTTATCCCCTATGTTTGAGAACTGAGGTGCGAGCCTCCCAGCGAATGAAGGATGCCTCTGTCACCGTTGCTTTTGTGCTTGGGTGTATCCTTTTGCCATGGCGGCGAGCATCATACGAGTGATCCGACAGTGGCTGCCGCAGTGATTTTCTGTTCTCACTAGAGTGGCATGACTCGACCCATTTCACCATTGCTCTTGGTATTCTCATCAGCATTCTTACCCCTCGCTCGGCATGACTGGAAGTCTGCTAATGCTTTACGACCCTATGAAAGATGCCTATGAAGCCCTTAATGTAGGGGCTCAGAGACTCAGAGTTCTGTGCTGCAGGATGCATGGATGGATAACGGCTGTTTGCAATCCCTTGTCCTCCCGCCAAACAGCAATCTGGCACGTAATTTGGTTTTATTTTCTTGTCCATGGTTAGTGGACAGTCCACACATCATGATGGACTAGTTTCCTCAGTTTTGTGCAGGCAAAACTTATGCAACAAGTTGCAACTTCTGGAAGCGGCACTTGTTGGAGTTTCTTTCTTGCGTTCATCATAGCCGGGAAACAGGCAACAGCAGCACAGGCAGCAGAAATGACTGAGTTGTAGAGTTTGCCAAGGCTACATCATAAACTTGAGGGTTAGTCTGAAGTCTGAAGCCCTACACCCCTAATGCTACCATACATGTAGCATTAATAAAGGGGGTGACAATACCGTTTTGTTG